TTTTTCGGTAACAAGTAATTTTAATCTAAAGCAAGGATCTACTTCCAAACGTATAGTATCCTCGTGAATTTTACTCCAGGTTGGAAAAATTGTCCTCTTTATGGTGTTATGTTCGGGGCTTCCTTAAACCTCCCTTGATTACAATTTAAACCATGAAGAGTATCCTTGAAGGAAGGAGCTGTTTAGTGTTTAATGATAATGACTATGAACACGACTCTTCAGCTTAAAGTTGACACGAAAGCCCTGAAATTTTCTTAAGGAGAAGGAAGAGGAGCTAACACTCCTTTCCGCAATATCTCATGACCAGCCCCCCCCCCTCCCAAAAAAATACCAACTCCCGTCCCGTAACATTGAGGATTTAATCTAGGACACTCCCGATCTCGTGACGTTTACATGAATAAATTCAATCGCAGGTCGATTTCTGTTAATTGGGTGAAATCTTTGCATTCAAGGTGTCACTTGCCACCGGTGTAGGAAAATAAAAATGTTCTGTAAGGAAATTTTTGTTTTCCTGAACTCTATCCCTGATAAGAAACAAGACATTTTACTCCGGTCCTATTTAAACCTCACACACCACGCATTAGGTTTTAAGAACTCAGACTTTTCCTCGCATTAACAATTCTTTCGCCCACAAAGTAGTTGGCTCAACAGGAACTCGACTGACAATATTTTATTTAAATTTTATCATCGGCTCATAAGTAGTAGGATGGAAAGTCCGCTTCATTCCATTTTCAACGCTGTCTACTTCTTATTCTAACTTAATCCGTGTACAGATTTTCGTTACTCGGTCCTCAGCAGCATTAAATTATGTGAGGAGATTTTAGGGATATATGAGCTGTTATTTGCATTAAAATCTGTAATACTCGTTTTCGTGATTGTAAATCGATTCGACACAATTTCCCGCTCGTATAGTAGTCATATGGGTTAAACATTTTCATAAATCTTCGCGTGAATATCTGTTCAAAATTTTAGCCGTGACGTAATCTCACCAGATTACTGCTTTCGATTCTGAATCTAAATTAATATTTTTAGATCAGTGTATAAATTCTTGTTCATTTGAAGCAGAATATGAAAAAGTCTCGCATAGAATTACAAAGTCAAATTTAAATGTCATTTTTTGTCGTGGTATTTTTTATGCATAGCCGTAGAGTTTAGTACAATGTCAAGGCTACCTCTTTAGCTTTTTAATTGATGCCAAGATGACATGAAGGGTCGTATGATTCGCGGTATTGCATCTCTGTGCGTGAGAACTGCTTTAGACCATCTGCATGGTCCCTACGAAAAAAGAAGAAAAAGAAGAAGAAGAAGAAGAAGAATAGAAAAAAATAAAATATTATTCCACACCTAATTAAAAGGATGGGTTCTTTCTTCTGTTTGTATCTTACACCCGTTTGTTTTGTTGACATCAAATAAACGATCATGCACTTTTATAGCTCATAGTAATTCAAGTGAATTTAATTCAAAGTAATGGAGCTCTTGCATGCGTGAGGGATTTTCGATTTAAGTACTTTTTTATGTAAAATTTCGCGAGAAACACGATGATTCCACTGGCTTTCTCTGGAATCAACCCCAAAGCACAAAATTTTACTCAGAAATCAGAACTTGAATCGCAAATTCTGGACACATGCAAGATCAGCTCCATTCCATGTTTTTGAGGATTTCAACGGGATAAGAATGAACGGCAACCCTCCTTTTCAAAGTCATGACGTGAAAAACTTCCGTGGAGGCTTCGTCATTTCATAGTTCTACATTTTAGGTAGGAGAGGAATTTAAAATTAAAACTGCTCGTCTAAAACGTGTCAAAGGAGAGGAAAATTGTTGTGAAAATGAGGAAAACACGCGCGTTAATGAATATTAATTTATCGGCGCTGAATCTAAATTCATTCGGGCTGCAACTGGAAGCAACCGCTGTAAATGACTTCTCACAATCAGCGCGCTTTAATTTCCTCGGACGGAAAATCTGAGGTCCTGTTTAGGACGGGTATAATGCCGAGAATGAAAATGACTACCTTCTTCCCTCATTAGTGTTGATTTTATCGACACATGCAGTCGTTACACCAACACTAGAGCGAAAGTACTGTTTTAAGATGAGCCCCGCCGTATGTATAACTCCGTGATTTTCAGGGTTCGCGACAATATGTAGTTGCGTCTTTTTACCAGAAGAGCGACGGTGTTTCCTCCTCTTCCTCAAATGAACATCACTTTATCTGACCAGTTTTCCAGCTTGTTTGACGAAGAATTAACTTTTCCGCCTTCTCACCTGTGTCTGTTCTTTTGAAGAAGGGATATAAAGAGATGTTACGTCCTGAAGCTTTGATAAGAATATTGTTCGGCTTTTGATGTTTCGTTCCCGTGGGAAGAACGGGCCAGAAAATGGATGTTGAGAGTTTGAGTTTGGATGTCGTGAGTTTGGAAAGGGTCGTACACAGGGAAGTTTCGCAATTATTCTCTTCACTGTCGGAAAATGACTCTCAGGGTCAGTCGTAACCTTTCATTTATCCTCGTAAAAAAATTATTTTGGAACTACTGTAAGATTTACATTCCGGCGATTTTAGATAATTTTGAAATCAACCCCTTTCCCTCCACCCTATGCAGTTTTGAATCGCACTTATTTACGTGAAGGAAAAGGCCCAGAGCTCGGGTTTCATTGTCAGTTGGCCTCTCTCCGATAGGTTAGAATTATGATCCAGAAATGATCTCAAAGTAATAGAAAAGGATTTGATCAAATCAATTTCTTCTAGTCAGTTACTTTTCTCGAAGTTGGCACTCGTCGGACTAATACCTACATTCCTTTCAGTATTGAATTGAAAAAATGTCTTGCTGAGTGTGTCTCTACTTTTCGGAAAATGAAATGAAGGCCCCCTAAAGGGTAATTGCATTAATTTGAAAACGATTAGTGCCTTTTTTGAATGGGATTCTTTTGGAGACTTAAACGCGAGGTTAAGAAAGCAGCGATCCCAAACGCCGCACAGTGTATCGAGTCAATTAGGGAGGTCGGACATGAAATTTTTGACTCAACTGCAAATTTGTGTGTTTATTTCGTCACATTATAAAGTTCAAGGGGTGTTTCATGAAGAAAATTTCACGAGAAAATCAATGAAATCACTCTTAGAACCTCACAATTTGTATAAACGGAGTTATAAGCGTTCAAAGTTTCCAAATTTTGCCCGATCTCTCGTATTGACTCGATCCACTGTGCACCAACCATCCAGCGAGAGTTCCTATATGGTCGGTTGACTCGCTGCCCTGTGCGCCGCGCCGCGGTGAATTTTGAGACCATCGATGGATGCGTGCGCGAACCGATACCAGTTGCAGCGTCCAACGTCGGAAACCAAAAACACAAACAAAACTCGGCCTTCCCGCTCGGCGATCGGACGGTGACTCGAGCAAAAAGAGACGACTTGCTTTTGTTTCCGTCTTGGGCTGTCTCCGCGAGCAGGTGACAGAAGAAATTAAGTGAGTCGAGGTGAAGCCGACTCCAAAACAAGATCCAGTCTCAGGGTTAGCCAGGAAGGTGAATTTCACGCGAGCCCCAGATTTTAATCGCCGTCTCCAACGCTTGCAGCAATGCAACCTCTACTGCCGTCCGCAGGAAAAACGCCGTATGAACATTCCAGAGTTGCCAAATTTCCTATAATAAATAACATAATTTTAAGGAAAGTTTCAATATTTTCCCTTGAAATTTTCAGGTATTTTGGACCGAATAGAGAATTTGCAGGTGTCTGAAATTTGATGTATTTCGTGTTAAAGTGGAAACTACTGAGTGAACTGAACACGAAGAAACCTTTGGTTCATGAATTGAACAATCATTGGAGAAGATATGACGAAAATGATCTAATCTGCTAAAATACATATGTTTAAATAGGAAATGCCGCCACATGACGTCACTAGGCGGTGCATTTTCTCACTTTTAAATTTATATTTAATCTATTTCCCATACCAGAAAAAAAGTATAAAAAATACTGTGAAATCAGCACTTTAAGAACTTTTAGATGAAGAAATAAAAAAACGCATGTAAATTCTCCATTGCGATCAATGTTGTCTGAAAATTTGAAGCAAAACTTTACAAAACTTCCAGTAAATTCGGTTTTTATCGAGGGAAATCTGGCAGCGCCTGAAGACTTGCACAGCGTTTTTCCTGAGCACGGCAGTGTACGCGTCAATATTTAGCGCTCGGTCCGGAAAGTCCGTGTCCTCTGACGCCGGGTTGAGAAAGAGCGAGCAGTACGTGCGGTATGACTGTGCGTGCAAAAGCTGTCCACTATCAAGTATCATTCCCAACTTTAAAGTAACAAGACGTATGCTGTAAAATAACTGGGTTTTATGGATTAATTCTCTGCTGACACCGAGCATGTTGAGAATGTGTTGGTATTATACCATGGCACCAACATGGTACACTGGGAAAAAAACACATTGGATCCAGAGTCCAGACTCCTAAAAACATCGACAAAAAAAAGTGCTCTTGATTCAATCAGAATCTAGCTTAAATCAAGAACCAAACCCCTTAATTTAAGCGGATTTCGTTTTGATTCAAACAAAATTCCGATTGAATCAAGAGTATTTTTTCTTGTCAATGTTTTTAAGAGTCTGAACTCTAGATCCAATGTCTTTTTATTTCCAGTGTAGCAACTTACAATTAGCCCAAGTGACCAGCATGGTGCCAACGTATCGCACACATGGTATACAATGTTGAGACCATGTTGGTACCATGTTGATATATTGTTGTTTTACTCCCCAACACATTCGTTCTTAGCAGGATTTTGCGACTCGCTCCAGAAGCGATGGAATTCACTTACGATTTCACCGAATAGTTGAAAATCTTATATTTTGACATGCTCTTGTTCTAAGCGAGTATCATATTTTAATGATGTTATCCTCTCGAATAAATCATTACTTCGATACATGCTCTTCTGAAGTGAGTATCATATTTTAATGTTGTTATCCTTTCGAATAACCTATTACTTCGATCCACGATTTTAATATCCGTCCTTTGTTTTCAGATACGGGCTATTAGGTGCCAGTGGTTGTGGTAAAACGACACTTCTCAGCTGTATAGTCGGACGACGGCGATTAAACACGGGAGAAATCTATGTTTTAGGAGGCAAACCCGGCACGAAAGGGAGTGGCGTCCCCGGAAAAAGGGTCGGCTACATGCCTCAGGTAAGCACAATATATTTTTCATTTGTCTACTGAACGTAAATGATCTACGGACGATAATCCTAATTTCATTCCCCTTTTCTGTGACCATGTTTTTTTAATATCAATCTAGCTAACTGGAAAAACGCATCTCGCGTGCTGTTATGATAAAGATGAAAAAGATGAAAAAGTATACCGAAACACGCATATTGTTGTTGCACTTGTTCCTGTATTTTGTTTTAAGTGCTTGCTGAAGATGGGCTAAGCCCGAAATGCATCCAAGCCATTAAACCTTATTCAACAATATGCGTGTTTCGGTATACTTTTTCATCTTTTTCATCAATCTAGCTACTAATTTTAGTATAATAGTCATCCTTGGATGCAGCTTTTTAGGCAACTTTTCAAAGATGCATGTCGAGCGTCCAGCAAAAAGGCGCCGATTGGGAGGAGAAGTGATGTTCGCAAGTTGACAATATACTCCCAATTCCTCTCAATGGACCTGTAGCAAACTTTTGCCAGAGCAAAACTTAGAGTTGAAAGTTGCAGACAATGACTTAAAAATCACGATGAGCGCATTGGCAAAGTCTGCAGTGCACCTCTACTTCACAATCAACTACTACAATCTACTACCGCCAATCTACACAGAATATACTTCAATCTGCGTAAGGAATGTGCGTTTTTTAACTTTCCGCTTCAAAAATAATACTGCAGCAAGGTGAACATTCCGTAAGAGGAGTTGTTCCATCCAACCCTTGCGCAGTAGGATGCCACACAATATTCAACATAGCTGGCGCTTCCGCGCGCAAATCGTGAGGGAGCAATATGACCTTTATCAACGCAAGGAACATGTAAATTTGAACACGCCGGTTCATAAGATCTTGTCTTCGTCACGTGTGCTATGGCGGGTCGGCGTCGGCCATGTTGAATATTTCGTAGCATCCCAGTGCGGAAGTGTTGGATGGAGCGACTCCTCTAACGAAATGTTCGCCAATGCCGTAGTATCGTTTTTGAAGCGGAAAGCTAGGAAAAACGCGAATTTCTTACACAGATTGTGAAGTTAGAAGTGCATTGCAGATTTTGTCAATGCGCTCATCGTGAGATTTGAGTCAACTCTTCTCTGCAATAGTCAATTCTTGGTTTTTCTCTAGCAAAAGTTTGCTACAGGCCCATTTAGATCCATCATGAACAATCGATTTTTGGCGTGACAGCGTGCCTGAGAAATCTCGATTGTTTTAAGTGCATTTGAATGAGACCCAATGTTGCCAGCATATGAGAACGAATCCTCAGTGGCCTGGAGAAAAGAGGAACTGGTTTCCTAAAGTTGGGTTTATTGACCGCGGAGTAACCTTGGTTCCAGCCAAGCTTGCTCTTACCTCACCCACCGTCCTTGATGTCATGTGCACTTCAATGTTGCAGTGTTGCACTAATCGAGTTCCCTCTCAAGTTCCCTCTCAAGGCTTATTCTTGGTTCAAGACGTATGTGAAACCTTTGCCGACCCTCTAAGCTGAGATAAGTTGGGCTCTTACGTCACAAGTTAAGCGAAACAGAATGACGATTGGACTGCGTTTAACAGAAAGGAACCAAGCCACATCAGGTTTTGCCAAATTAAACGGGCAATTGAATTATTTACAAGAGAATTTTTGTGCGGATTTGTTTGAAAATTTTTAGGAATTTGCTTCGCACCAGGCAGAAAATTCACTGAAAATTGCATAAAAATCCGCACAACTGTTTTCATGTAAAAAATTAATGCCCAATAAAATTTAGCAATAACTGATGTGGCTTGGTTCCTTTCTGCTGAATGCGGTCCAATTTTGTTAATGTTAACGTTCCGCTCGCACCAAACAGGAAATTCTTCTTGAGTCAGATCACGTACGGAGTAGTTGGCGAAGTTCTTAAATGTAAAAGGGTTTACGTATCAAAACTAATTTTTATCGCCCAATTCGGATGCTTAGTGAGACGATTAGATAAGGAACAGGCATAAAATCTTGAGTTCATCTGGAGAATCTCCTTCATATTATGAGGTATGCAAAAAGCTTCTCCTCAATGTACGAATAGTTAGCCACTTGGTTACGTCTCATCTCTTCCGCTCTATCCATTTTGATGTAAAATTTACTCAGCAAATTATTAATTCTCTGCGTTTCGTGTTGCAGGAGATAGCCTTATACGGAGAATTTTCAATTGCGGAAACAATGAAATACTTCGGGTGGATTTTTGGCATGGAAACTTCAGAAATCAACGACAGACTTCAATTTTTGCTCAATTTCCTAGATTTACCCAGTCAATCCCGGCTCGTCAAAAACCTCAGGTATGCATGCAACTTCATAATGCAGATGTAACTTTTCTCTTCGTCGCTCAAAAAAATCGCATCATTTTTTCCCCATCAACGCGCTCATTTTCTAATTTTGCCTCCGACTAAATCGTCAGATAAAAAATAAGTATATTTTGGATCAGAATCGGTTTCATTCTGACCCGTTTCATTCAAATGAATCGCTCAATGTTCCTCTTGCTTCCTTTGTCGATAGCTATATCTATCATTTTCAATGAACAGCCTGCTGGAAGGGGCTATCAGTTCGGAATTTAATGCTATATCGGCGTCTTTATGCAGAATAAGAAGTTAAGAATGATTTTCGGTCTTTCTTGGCGCATCTAAGTAGATGTATCCATCGTGATTTTGAGCCATTCTTTATTTTAGAGACCACGCTTCTTTTCGCTCGAGCAAAAGTTTGCGACAGACTTATTGGACCCTAAGTGTCGAAGATCAAGTGGAGGGAGGATAGTGGATTTTTGAGGCGGAGCCGATTGCCGAGTGGCGAGTGGTCGGAGGAGTCTGGACGAAAGCGGAGCCGTCGGCGATGGCGAGAAGCAATTTACATTGAAAATGTGTAAAAGACTGTTGAAATCCTTGACTGGTGCGCGCTGCTCGGCGACCCGAGCCGTACGCCGCACAGCGGGTCGAGCTAACGGAAGAAGTCGGGCATAAAATTTCTGGCCAAAATTTTAAATTTTGATGTTTATTTCGTCACAAATTCAATTTCAAGAGGTGTTTCTAAGAGAAAATTTCACGAAAAAAACCAATGAAACCACTCTTAAACTTTTTTGTTTCATATTTTCGAAAACATGAGCTTTCAAAAGTTTCCAAATTTTGTCCAGCTTCTTCCACTGACTTGCTCCTTTGTGCGGCGTGCGTTGCGCTCGGGCACCGACCAAGGCGCATTAGTGTGCGGCTCCGGCTGCGGATTACCCCGTCGGCTCCGCGGCCTCGAACTTACGCGCTTTTTACTCCATCCCCCGCCGCCCCCCTCCGGCCACAACCGCCGCTTCCTCCAACCTCCGATCCGGGATTTCTTCGGATCCTTGTCGTTTATTCACACTTCATGATTATCTACGCGACCAGTCCTCCGAGGCTCTTAAATTCTTGCTCGCGTATTCTGCCGTGCGCAGGAAAAAAAACTCCGGCCGTGGAAGCCGTACTTACGGGCTGTATAGACATAACGTCTGCGTTACGGGCTCAGAGGCCGAAAGTTCTGGGCGTAGCACTCGAACCAGTTGAAGTTACGGCTCCAGCGCCCGGAACTTTTGGCCTCTGAGCCCGGAACGCAGACAGTATGTCTGTATAGTCCGTAACTTTAGTGCAGAAAAAAATGCCCTATGAGCCTTCGGACGTTCTTTTTCCTTTAATGAGGGTTGTCACGGTCAGGGAATACTGGGAAATGTCAGGGAATTGTAAAAAAGTCAGGGAATACCTGGAACCGTCAGGGATAATGACGGAAGTGTCAGGGAAAAATTGTCAGGTCACTTTTATTTGATTTCCAGAATGGCTTTGAAAATTCGAACAACAGATTTTGCCTGGAAATTATTTCAAATTACGTTTTTCAAATCATCTGGCGCATCCATAATCGTCGGCGAATTTTACTGAAATGTGCTGAGGAAATCAGCAACGTTTGAAAGAACGTAACTAAATTTCAACACGATGCTGAAAGTTGCAGCAATGAACGGTTGTTGCATTCATTTGTTTAAGAAACGACTTATTAACTATAACGAGGGGTAGGGCATTGGGCCACTATAGATAGTGCATTAGATCATGAGGTGATGTTTTGACAAGTTCAGAAGTATACATATTGTAATAACAAGGAAAGAAAGAATTTAGAATGGAACCGAACCCTTGAGTCATTCGCCGTACGTAAATGAGTTTGTCTTCAGGTCAATTTGATTTGCGTTCATTTCAGTTCGAAAAAGGAACGGAAACTAGTTTTATGGTCCATCTGACTCTTCGATATGCGAGCTTCGTTATAGCACTAAAGCACGAATTTAATTAGTTGGAGAACAATGCGTGAACGCAGTATTTATGGCAGGCGCAATTACAAATTATTGACCCCTTTGTTCTTCATTCGATTCTTTGAGCAGCTCTTACTTTAATGACAGAATTCTCGCACTAAGAGAATAATTTGTGTTGGACCGAGCTTAGCAAAAAGATGCCAAGCACGTGGACACGTTAAAAAACGCATCTATTTTTGTAGAGAAATAAATTGTATTTAATTTATAGACCAATTTGCTTGGGAGAATCTACGGCTTTCTGCGACTCACATTTTCAAGACGTTGACAGCTCATCAAAATTAAAGAATGCAAACCTCATCAATAATATGGCCATCCATAAAAAGAGGGAATGCATGGTTCTTATAGGAGCATATTTTAAGAAAGTGATATTCAAGCGAATTTAAGAAGGAGTATTTCAATTTTCGCTACTAGACACTCTCCAATATTCCAAAGAATTAGGAAGAAGCCATTTCGATTTTCTTACCAATAATATGCGTGAGGTTGCATTTTTATGCAATATTAAGCCTCAAATATGACAGATCAAAGCTTTGAACAATTTTATTATTCAAATCAGCATAAATCCGGCTTGATCTGACATTTTGAAGCGCGTTTTCCATCGCAAGATGTTCACAAAAAATCCTCTGTGCAATGCTGCCATCTTGATTTTGAGTTTTCACGTCTAGAATTTATTTTTCCGTGAACAGTCGCATGTATACGAGGTCTATCCTTCCTTTTCAATTGTTATCTGATTGATGTTTTTCTTGATTTTAGTGGTGGTCAACAGAGGCGAGTGTCATTCGCTGTTGCCCTCATGCACGATCCAGAACTGCTTATTTTAGACGAGCCTACAGTCGGTGTTGATCCACTTCTTAGGCAAAGGTAAGAGTTTTTTGTTGATTTTCATCACGATTTTCTAAAAGAGGTACTTGGGGGCTAGGTAATACATTTCTATTCGCTCACTGTAGTGAGGATTTTTTCCTTATGCCGCAATCACACGCTGAATTTAGCAGCTGAATTTGGAAGTCAACAGTCATCGCTCAACGGCTGAAATTAAGCAAATTCGAGTTATTTTCATCTAAATGTGTATCAAATCTACTCGAATAGTTTAGATAAATTCAACATTAGTCCGATGGTTGCTTAGAATCGTTGCTGAATTTTGTGCGTCACGCGCAAAATTCAGGCATCGGGCCGATGATCTCCACATTCAAGCCACATTCAGCTCCCACATTCAGCGTGATTGCGGCATCAGCCTAAAATTGAAAGGAACTTTAACATTCACACACAGGGTCTAGCATCAGGATTTTCCCGATTCTATCAGGAGTCAATCCCAAATTCATCAGGATTTGAGGGAAAATCGGTCGTAAAATCTGGATTTGAGAAAAGTTTGCCGTCCGATCGGATTTTTTTATCGAGCTATTTTTGTGAATGCAGACATTTTAATTTTTCTCCGCAAAAAATCAGGACTTGAAAAAATTATGGAATCAGGATTTAACAGTAAAAAATCAGGATTGCCCAAAATAAAAAAAAAACTAGACACCCTGACACATCTTCGGCGTTTACTTTTATTTTCTCTAGTTTCTTTCACCATAAATGGCAGTCCCCGTATTTCACGTAAATTCACAATGCCCTCGTCAATTTGAGTTATTTATTATTTCCACCGTTCTCTTCATGTTTTCAGTATATGGAACCATCTCGTGCAAATCACGAAGGATGGAAACAAAACCGTCATCATCACGACGCATTACATCGAAGAGGCCAGACAAGCGCATACGGTGAGTTACTCTCATCCATATCAATGGTCTAAAGCAAAAACGTCGCAATCAAAGCGATAGTAGGTGTGAAGAAAAGAAACAGAAAGAAAATGAAGAGGATGAAAATGAATGAAAGAGGAAAAAAAAGAGGGAAAGAGATAGAAGAATTGAGAAAGTAAGATAATAAAACAGCTTTTTATCGAAGGGGATAAGATTACATTAATGTCATTTCAGTTCGCCTTCAATTATTAGTATAGGCAATACGAGCTCCCACGTGGTCGAATAGTGGTATCATTGTAAAACAGCACGATCCTCGCTCGGGACACACTTTAAAGTGCTATTTTATCAAATGGACCGACCGATGTAGCACCAGATCGACGAGAATCGATGAAACCAGTTGAACCAATGTGAACCAATCGACGTCGATTCGATCGAAAAGTTATAGAAAAACAAGTTATTTTTCAGGTTTCGATCGAATAACGTCGATATACTCGATTAACAAAGTACGCAAATATTTTAATTATAATTTATTGCAAAGCATGTGGACCCGTGACTGAAGTCAAGGATCTAGATGGCTTTTCGAAAGTTTGATTGTGAAGAAAAAAGTCTCGAAAAGCTAAAAAGCTCTTGGAAAAATGAATCTACTTTCCTATGATGCGTTAAAGTCATCAAAATAACTACCGAAAACTTTGACTGGTGGCCGCTCATAAAATATATAACGCTTGGAGTGGGAAGGGGAGGGGGGGGGTGCTCACGTTATGGGTGTATTACAGTGAGGATGGAAAGTTATGGATTGCGTCAAGTACGCTGAAATCGTTTATTGAAACTTTCTCGCGACTTTAAAAAAAAACGAAAAACCGACGCGAGGTGGCAATTTTTCCTTCCAAACTTCACCACAAAACGCTCATTTAAGGAATGGGAGGTCGAATAAAGCGTCACGTAATTTTTTTAAGGGGCTTAGACTTGTTTTTACGAGTGCGTCACGAGCGAGAAGTGGGAGTCAAAAAATCCGATTTCCAGCTTAACGCACGAATTTTGTGAACGGCCTCAGATTAGCTAAACTGTAGAGTTGCCACAGTCAGGGAATACCGAAATAAGTCGGGGAATTTTTAAAGCCAGGGAAATTGATGAAAATGTCAGGGAAAAATTGTCAAGTCACCTTTGTTTGCTTCCTAGACTTAGTTTGATGTTTCAAACAATAGATTTTGCGTGAAAACTATTGGATATTATGTCTTTTTAACCATCTGACATATCTTCAATTTCCGAGGAATTTACCAAAATGTGACGGGAAATTTCAGGGAATTTAATTTTCTTCATTCTGCGGCAGCCCTGAAACCGGTTTTGGATTCGCAAGACCGAAATCCCCGCTTACCTGGACCGGAAGCTTTCATATTGCGTACGGCCCAAAGTTTTTTTTCCTCCGCGTCATGACGTATGGACGCGAGAAAAAATTCCGCGGTGGAGTCGGCCGAGCAGGCGGGGATCATCGGCGGCGTCGCACAGTGGATCGAGTCAATAAGAGAGGTTGGACACAATTTGGAAAATTTAAACGCCTATAACTCCGTTTATACAAAACTTTGAGATTTTAAAATTAGTTTCATTGGTTTTCTAGTGAAATTCCCTCTCAGCATGCAATCTTAGTATAATCTTGCACATCTTACACATCAACATTGCAGCCATATTATAACCATCTTAGTAAGAATGAGGTAAGATTGCATCAGTGTCGATGTGCTACTGCCACGGACTTGCCTGAACATTGCAACAACATTGATAGTAAGGTTGAAGTAACATTACAATAATCTTACATTATATTGATATGCCCCCGTCAACATTGTTATCAGATTGACACTTCTTGACATCTCCTTGATTGCCGGTCTATCAAGCTTACATCAATGTTGATATTGTCAGTCTTATCCTGACAATACTGATTTAACATTCCATCCATATTAGTAACATTACATCAACATACGTCAGCAAATAACAACATTGCTTTAAGATATCATGCTGAGTGGGTAGAAACACCCCTGAAAATTAAAAATGTGACGAATTAAGTTGCAGTTTTAGTCAACGATTTCCTGTCCGACTTCTCTGATTGACCAAATCCACTGTGCGGCGCGGCTGGCGGATAAAAGTATCGGAGATTCAAGGGCGTATTTTTCATAACATTAAATTGCGGATCGGACGCGGGCGCTTGACGCTGGAGGAGCGATGTCATTAGCGCATTGTTATCGAGCGTTTCATTAATTATTATTGCTCCTCAGCGCGGCGTGGCGAGTCCTCCTCACGTGAGCCGTCATCATCCGTCGCCGTGCCGTGAAAATATTCACCGGAGCTTTAATTGCGCTCGCGAAATCGGACCTCTCCGCCCCGCCTTCCTCGACGCGGATCCGGGAAAACGCGCCGAGGGCGGCCGCTAAGTCGCTAAGACTTCCGTCAAACGCCGCCTTTGCTCCTTTTTTGCTCAGGGATGAGATCAGTTAAAAAGAAATTAACAAATAGAAAAAAATAAAAACAAAAAAACAAAAGAAAACAAAAGAAAACACAGAAAAACAGAGAGTGACAACGATCCTTTGGGGGAGGTGACCCTATCTTATACCAGCATCTATTTTGGTTTTTTGGTCATCCAGAAGTTTATGTTCTTATTTTACCAGGGTTTGGTATTGTGTCTCATTTAATTAGTAGTGAAGCCGGGAAACTAGAAGTATTTGGGAGGTTGTGTATAATTTATGCTATAATAACTATCGGTATCTTAGGTTTTATCGTTTGAGGACATTCTCAGGCAAAAAAACAAGCAAACAAACAAAAACAAATCAAAACTAAGCGAAAACAAAAACAAAACAAAACAAACAAAAAACATATGAGATCAGTTAAATGAGGGGCTTGGAGGACAAAACGCATAATGGACCACTAGACAAGGTACGAATTTCAGCATTCTGATACATGTTTCTTCACCAAAATTTCACGTAAAACGCGATGCGCTCAACGAAAATTACCGAAATCAACTCCTTCCGAAGATATTTAATGATTCTTGGTGCGTGAATTGAAACCACCCGCTCATGAAAACTCAATGCTCTACTTGATTCACATCGCGCGCTAAACGTTATCATGAACGTCTCTGCGATAAAAAAATCTGGCAACCTCAATCTTTACGCTTTGGCTCAGCTATAGCAGCTCAGCAAATTACTTATAGTTTGAAAAACACATGGTGGGAAATGAACATTGCTCGATTGAGAAGCTTGCTGAAACCGTTGTAGTGCGCGAATTGACTCGCGTAGAGTTTTGAGTTTCTTGTGAGCGGGCAGTTCAAATTCCTTGTAACCAATGTGAAATAAAAATGTTAATATCTCCGGTAGAAGTTGGTTTCAGTAATTTCCGTTGCGCTAATCGTGTTCTACGTGGATTTTGGTTTGGAAACATGTATCAGAATGCTTAAATTCGTACCTTGTCTAGTTGTCCATTGCAGTTTATGGAAAAAATTGCAAATATTAACAATTTCAACCAGGGGCGAACTCCCTGGTAAAAATTGGCAGTAGGATCCGTGTTCCAAAATACCATAGACCTACAGCCGGCTGTAAGATTTCCAATAGCTTCTATAGCCGGCTACACAATTTCTTATAGCCTTTTATAGCCGATGGCGATTGAGCGACAGCCAGGCGATAAAGTGTATGCTAAACGTTACTAATTACGGATGCTAGGACTTAGTGAGTTTTTGGACTACTGCTCTCTTTTTGGGTCGTAGTATCTTGATTTATTTTGCGAGGAAAGCTCCGTACTTTTGATGGATGACTGCCATTCCTGATATATTAGAGCGCCTTCAGTTTCGTATGATACTGTGCAATACCTCTGGTGTGAAATAGTCGCTTCAAGCGCCGCGCCGTCGCACGCTGAGGTGCGGCAGGCGGGCAGCCAGCGCGAAACGCGCATTGGCGCCTCCAAACCTAACAGGGATACTTCACGCATTGCGCAATGCGTGAAGTATCCCTGTTAGGTTTGGAGGCGCCAGTGCGTCGCCGTTCCGCTTTGGCGGAGTCAGCGTTATTCAACTCATGATTTTGAAATGTTTGCACATCCTGTATGGATTATTTTCATTTTGATTGATGAAAAAAAATATGTATTAAAGGAAAATATAATTTGTATTTTGTAAGTATTAAGATGGTTCCGCATCAAACTTAATGATTTCCAAAACACATGAATTTCTACACAATTTCTTATAGCCTTTTATAATCGATGGCGAAAAAGCAGCCAGGCGATAAAGTGTATAGCCCGGCGATAGGAGCTATAGCCCACCTGCATAATTTTTTATCGCATCGTATAGCCCGGCCGTAAGATTTTCTCCGCATTCTACAGCCAGCTCTATGATTTTCTGTAGCCTTCTTTATCAGGCTATAAGAATTCCTATGGTATTTTGAAACGCAGCTCTTATCGCCAATTTTGACCAGGGCTGAATCGAAAAATTAAGGCCGGGGGGGGGTGTCCCTGACATTAACATTAATAATGATTTTAAAAGCGATTAGAGTTAATTGCTTGTATGACTGCTTGTAAGTAAGTACCTGAAACTCTATTTTAATCCTTGGAGTTTGAAAGTTTCCCCTCCCAAAACCATGTTAAAGTGGTAAAGGACCAGTGTCAAATAATTTTACAAAAAAAAATCCATAAATGAAGGGGTGAAAATTATACTGGAAGGTGAACTGGATGTTTGACATATTGCTCTTTTGGAAGCTATATGGTATTTCTTTTTCGGTCTATTTTACAAAATTGTACCTACTGGTTTTTTGCAGTTGACCAATTATTACATTTTTGGTCATATCTGATGATAGGTGATCTATAGAAAGTTTAATTTTTGTTGTTGCTTTTGTTTTTAGATCGGTCTGATGCGTAGCGGTCGCTTATTGGCTGAGGAATCGCCACAAGTGTTGCTCTCTATGTACGGTTGCCAAAGTCTTGAGGAGGTCTTCTTGAAACTGAGTAGGAACCAAGGAAATGACAACACTAACATTCCAGAAATCAACATGTCCAATAACATCTCACTCGTAAGTTCTCTCGAAGTTTCTCTCCAAACCGCATCCATCATCTTTAAGTTATGGCTCAATAAGAAAAGAATAATGGTATTCTTTAGGTTTCTATATACTGCACGATTCAAGGAAGATGAACTGGAAGTAAAATTTTGTGAGGAAAAGTACATATAATCGAGCTTCCTCTACTAAATACTAATTGTCAGTGATTAATAGGCAATAATTCGATTATTATCGGCTTGGAAGGAAACTTAGGTGAAAGATGTTCCAATTTTTTGTGAACAAGTGGCCAATGCGTCTTTATTTAGCCTCATCATTGCAAAGTTCAGAATAGGTAAAAAAAACTGGCAACTTTATTTAGTTTTGACTTGTTTCAAATTAGTATCTACTGGTTTTTGCAATGATTTCTTTTCTCTAATGAAGAAGATAAGGGCAGAGATTAAGCAAACATTTTAGAAATTGCAGCAATACCTATTGCACTTTATGTTGGTAAATTATCTACGTTTAAATAAATTTCCTGCCGATTCTAAAAGTAATGGTAACAAAGAGCATAACTGATTTGATCATGACATTGAACCTACAGGTATTCTGCCGGACTTCAGTGTGCCCTTTAATATTTTATTTAATGTATACAAAATCATTGTATTATCTAACGTTACCCTGTAAATTTAATGCAATTCGTTTAGTTTTAAACCGTGTAGATAGATACAAGGAAATACTTGTAGTAGTTAAGTTATATTTAAATAAAATTCCTTCAAAAAAAAAAAAAAAAAAAAAAAAGTGTATACGTAAAAAAGCTCACTCTTGCAAAAGTGAGTGATTTGTACCCATTATTGGTATGTTACATCTTCACTTATCAAAATCTTTCTTTTACTTTCAGGCCACTCTTGGGTGGGGGAAAAAGGATGTTTACGTGTCTGAAGAGAGCGGTGTCATTGGCCTCAACTTCCACCAATCGAAAGAAATTTTAATTCAAGACCAGTCAAATGGACACTATGATGTAAGTGAATTGAACCATCATTGATTGCTCGCCGGTTGATGCTCCCTTGCTATCAACTCCGTGTGATTAGTTACTCTGATTTTGCATTATGACGAAGTTCAGTAAAAAAAGAAATTTGTCCACCTCAATCATTCTACCTAAAAAATTAAAACTGGAATATGTGTCAACAGTAAACAGTAACTCAGACAGATTTTGAGATACCTTTCTGATACCACTTGAGTGAAACTTTCATAATCAAACTTTGACGACTCAAAAACATGACAGGAAAATCATGCTCACTGATCTTTCTTGAGACAAGTACTTTGGGATTGTTTAGAGATTAAAAATTATTCACCCTTCATATAGCTTAAGTGCATGTACCCGCACAGTTACATAGTTGCAGCCTATTATCTGATATCTTATTGAAAAGGCAAGTCACAGTGATCACTTAAGGGAATTCATCAGAAAAAATTTTCAGCAAAAGGAGCAGAATTTAGTTGCTACTGGAACCGTTGAACTCTCAATTTCTCATCAAAGAAAACCTAAGTATGAACTTCCGTTTTTTTTTCTGTACCTTCTTGACAAAGGAGTACCTTGTACCTTTTACTAGTCTCTGCTTTCAAATTTATAGGTGAACGGCAAGAAAATGGAAATGATGGGAGAACCAGCTGCTGACTGTGATGACTGCTCAGCCTGCTGCAATCTAACAACAAAGGGGAAAACTCGAGCTCTGTTGCAGAAAAATTTCCTCAGGATGTGGAGAAACGTTGGGTAGGTCATCATAAACTTGCTGTCAGTTCAAATTTAAGACAAATTTAAGTACTGACAGTTTTTACAGGCACAGACATGTATTAGATCCAAGAATTTCCAAGATATACAAGTCAGCTTTTTTGAGCTTTCAACTTCTATCTCAAAATTTTTTTAAACGAAATGAAACCACAACAAAATTTGATATTAAATAGTACCGTATTGGATACCTACAATAAACTGCTTAGAGTTTCTATGTTTTGGGCTTTGTCCTCTAAGTATCGAATCTATACGTCTATCTATCTAACCATATTTGATACTAAATTGATACTACCATTGTGTTGGCGTCGCCTGAGATTTTCAACAGCAGTGGCCTAGGTTCATAATCTGTNGGGGGGGGGGGGGGGGGGGGGGGAAGTCCTTGAAAACCCCCTGGGCCGCAGGTATCTATGTTGCAAAATTCTCTTTCTAATCTAAGATGTGAATTTTTTTCTGTTGCAGAGTTATGCTTTTCATTTTTGTTTTACCTGTGATGCAAGTCATTCTTTTCTGTCTGGCTATTGGAAGAGATCCAACTGGACTTCATTTGGCCATAGTTAATCATGAAATGGACTTCAATAGCTCATACTGCCCAATTAACACCAATTGCACATTTAGCTACCTAAGTTGTCGTTACCTGAACTCTTTACCGAATGATACAATAATACAGGTAAATTCTCTTCATTAACCTTTAATTCTAGAATTATTGCCAAGTTGTGTATTCCTTTCTGAACAGTTGCAGCAAATGCCTCAGGCAGTTTTTAAGAATTATTGAACTCATCTTTACCTTATATTTGCCAGGATCACTATCGAGACGTGGAAAGTGCAATACAAGCGGTGAAAGTCGGGGACGCATGGGGAGCACTGTATTTCACGGATAATTTCACAGATGCCCTTGTAGCTAGAATGGTGCTTGGCCGTGATGCAGACACAGAGACACTGGATCAAAGTGAAATCAGAGTCTGGCTGGATATGTCAAGTAAGGATTTTTTCTTTAGGAATTTTAGAATTAAGTTCCTCTACAGGGAAATTTGCGTTAACCCTTTAAGCATAAACAAATTGACAATCATACAGAACATTACATACATTTAAATTTTTAAATTCTGTACTATATTTTGATCTCTCCTCTAAGGTGTTAATGGCTCAATTGTTAAAAGCACCAAATAAACGTATCTACCAACCAACCATACATTGTTCTTTAAAGGGTCCAGACTTGTTAAAAAAAAAGTGATAGTATGAATAAATGAATGAATGAGGAAACCTTTTTTAGTTTTTTCCCATCTTTTGTTACTTGAAAAAGCTACCTCACACTCTCATGAGTTTTTTTTTGGTACTTATTCAATTACATTATGACAGAAATTTTACTTTCGTACATTCTGCATTTTGTATGTTGCCTTCATTCTACTTCACTTTATGTTTCAATCGATAAAAACAATAGGTAACAGAATTCAAAATAATTTTGACCCCTACTTTTTTTTTCAAGTAAATTTTATATACCTACTTACATTTTCGACGATAAATATTAAATAGGGTTTTTTATTTCGTACACAAAAAGTTTTTTTCCATTTTTTCCTCCTGCAAAACTTTGCGTACAATTTTGAATGCATCAAAGACTCTTTTCACTGAACACTATTCCCGATTAAAACTACAATTATAACAAAAATGTATAGCAGATGAAGGTGAGAGGCAATCTCAAAAAATCAAGTTATTCAAGTATAACCTGTCTCTTTATACCCTTAGTCGTCAAAATTTAATGCTTGCGGTAATTTATTGGACTCTAAAGTTTAGAGTTTAGAATTTAGAGTTCATTCCCAACATGGATGTCCTCGTATTAATTTAACTTTAAAAGTGTTTTTCTGAAAAATTTATTTCAAATTTATTTATTTGATTTACCCTTTGAACGTAGCTTACAATCTAATATCTGCATTGCACGCTTGCTTATCCTTTGGTTCTTACCTCTTACAGATCAACAAATTGGACTCATGCTGAACCGTGATCTGCAAATATCTTACAGAGATTTTGCACAAGATTTATTGACATCATGCGATCAGAATCCCAAGCTAGCTGATATTCCAATTCAAGTGAGTAAAAAGTCCAATTAGGACAGGTGCACCCAACCTTTTTATAAGAGAAACGAGCATGGATAAAAACTGATTGATCCCTGCCATCAAGTATAAGCAAGGAAATAAAATATGAAGACCAAAAAAAAAAGAAAGAAGGAAAAAAGAACCATGGGCTTTTTTTTAGAGCTGAGCGGCATATTGCCAATTTTCATCATACTATTGTGATAGTGTTTCCAATAAAACAAAGAGAACATTTAAATAAAAAAGGAAACACATTTTTTCTTTGAATGTAAGATGCACCAAGAAAATGTTGAATACAAATTTAAAAGATGATCCAATATTGTATTTTTTATCGTAATTTTATTATTCTGTTACTTTTACTTTTCTGCCCTTACTTGTATACCTACATGTTTTCTCACAACAACAAAATGTTTGTTTGCAGTTTAAAGAACCTATTTATGGAAGTAACGACCCAAGTTTCACTGACTTCGTCGCTCCTGGTGTTATTCTGACGTAAGTTAAAATGACCCAATCTATTCTTTATTCACTCAAAAAATAGCAATTGACCATAAATTCCAATAATAATCACTTATTTTTTGAGCTTTTTCCTGTGAAAATTACCAAAATTTCGGTCAAAAATTCTACTCTATGAGTTCAAGTATGACATTATAAAATTTGCAGAATTTATGAGTGGATTTCAATCCGATGTGACAGTTTTTCGAGTTCGATCAAGACATCTTTTCGTTATTTTATACATCGAAATTAATTTTTCCTATTTGTTTGCAGAATCGTTTTCTTCTTGGCCGTTGCTTTGACATCCTCAGCTCTCATTATTGAGCGAATGGAGGGGCTCCTAGACAGAAGTTGGGTTGCAGGTAATTCAAGTTTACTCTATTTGATATCAGTTTTTGAATTCAGCAGATGCTAAGTTTATCATTCTTGCAAAGAGGCTATAGGAGGCGGTAATTTTCAAATTCATTAATCCCTTTATTTGAATATTAGGTGAATCAAATGTAACAGACCACTAGATGAGGTCAGAATCGAATAATTCCTTTAGTTATTTTTTTTCAAAATTTCTTACAGACATTGATACCAATGAAAATATCCGCAAATGAAGTCAATTAAATCTTGAATTCTTCTGTAAACTTAAAGTTAAAAAATTGAAAACTTTCAAGAAACAACAATTGCTATGAATTTTTTTGGTTCCACTTGAGTCAAATTGTAATGGCTAATATCCTCTGGGAAGCGACTTTCAAGTTTCTTTGCTCAAGTATATTTAATTTTAAAACTCAATTTTATGTACTGAATATGACATAAAATCCCTCAATTCCACAATTTTGAATTATTTCGAATTAAATTTTTTATAGACACTCCTATTGATATCCTCAGTTTAGGAAACGTTTAATGCAACTGAAACAGCAAACTTGGAGAACTTTTAGAACCCAGAACCCCCATGTGCGTGTTACTATCTAAGTTTACTATGGAGACAGTAGGAGTCGAGCCTGACAGATATGTTAAAGCTTAGATTTCAGAGCGACCCATTTATCTTCGGATTTATGTCTATATGTTCAAGCTTAGATTTCAGAATGGCCCATGTATCTTCGCATTTACGTCTTTGAAAGCTTCGAGTTGAACTAATTTTCAAAATATAAATATTTGTTTCTTTTTCAGGAGTTACCCCACTTGAGATCTTGTTCTCTCACGTCATCACACAGTTTGTAGTCATGGTTGGACAAACTGCTCTAGTTTTAATTTTCATGATAGCTGTCTTTGGGGTTGAATGCAAAGGAAACCTTGTCCTGGTTGTTATTTTAACTATTCTTCAAGGTTTATGTGGCATGTGCTTCGGTAAGTTGTTGAGATTATCAAAAAAACTTGAAATAAGTATACTAGTGAACATTCACTCTCACAAGATCAATCTTTTTACTGTTACTAGTACTTGTCTCTTACTGTGAAATACAGTATCACTATGTTACTTATTTTTTCCTGCAACATTTTGCTGAGCCTTCGAAAGTTCTAAAAAAACATTAAACAAGAGAGAAAAATGAAAAAATTACTAAAAATTTCTTTCTCTTGCGAATTATATTTAGATACAATTATTTCCATAATTTTTTATCTCACTGGCAATGATAAATAAATATCAACATCCGCAGAAGAGTTAGATTTTATCTCTTACTAATTTTATTAGTAACCTGGCAAAAATTTCAGATCCGAGCTGTGATGATGAGATAACTGTCTGATCTTATATTTTTTCTTTGTGTTTTAGGTTTTGTCATCTCAGCAATTTGTGAACTAGAGAGAAATGCAATTCAATTAGCTCTGGGTAGCTTCTATCCAACTCTTTTACTCAGTGGTAAGTTCTATTTGCAAGCTCTTAATGAAGAATTGTATTAAGTGCTTCAGTCTTGTGTTAAAATCACTCGAGAAAAATTTGCAAAAGCAAGGGACTACTTTTTCTCTACAGAAATTTTAATTGTAATTTGCCTCCTTAAAACTCAGCTTATCTAAAACAAAAGTAATGCTCCAACTTCTAGTAATAAAATTAAAGGCATGCAATAAAATTTTTCTAGAGAGCTGAGGGGCTTGGAGGACAAGGCGCATAAGTGCAGTCTTTCAACAAAATAGAGACATTAATGATTTTAAGTAAAACTTGTCTTAATGCATATTCTGTGAAAAATTCGCTCCCAAATTCAAATTTTTAAGCATCAAAAAGTCAGTTTGAACTTTCTCTCCGCCATAAAGATCCATGTAGTTTCGAAACTTCAAACATGTATTTTTCGAAATAGCAAAAACTGCACTGTTTCTGACGTTTTCGGCGAACAAGATTTTGCAGTAACTCCTAAAATGAGGGAAAACCAAAGAAAGTCAAAGAATTTTTCCTCCTCGAGTCCATAGACAATCTATTGCATCAGTGAAGATGACTGTTCTTGTATTTAGAGCCTCATCTTCCTATTTTCTATTTTGATTTATGCAGCTTCTACATTGTTTTTGTTGATATTTTGCAGGAGTTATCTGGCCTGTAGAAGGAATGCCAATTATTTTACGGTACATCAGTTTGTGTCTGCCACTCACAATGGCGACAACATCGCTGAGGAGTATCCTCACACGTGGTTGGAACCTCCTTGAACCTGATGTTTATATGGGCTTCATTTCGACCATCACCTGGATTATTCTCTTCTTATCTGTTTCCATGGCAGTTCTGAAATTCAAGAGAGGTTAGATCCTACAACAAACCTGCCACGATTGACCGAATCCTGAAAGATTGCTCACTCTCCTAGCCCTTTGTTATTTGAGTCATGTTTTCCAAAAGTAAAAAGAAGTTTCAAGTAAATTTTCAATTTTGACTTAAGGAGAAAAATGCAAAAAAAAAAAAAAAAAAAAATTTGAACATTTGAAAATAAGAAAATATGCTATTTAATATCAAAGCAAGGTCTTTGAATCATTTACTGTAAATAATTCCTTCGGAACTCATTTTAAATACAAGCAATTGGATTTTTGAGGATGATAAAGCTGTTTTTGACAAGGGTATTAGGATCTGCTCCAATTTTACATGAAAAATTGAAGAGACTTTGTTTATTGTCTGCGAGCAAAGAAAAGAGCAAGCAATTAGGATTTGGAAAGTTGAATGACTACTGTTAAGCGTATCACCATTAAACATGGGTGCCAGACAATTTCATCCTCTTTTTTCTCTTCCTGCAAACCAAAGAAAGGGAAAAAACTGGAAAAGTTGATGTAAGTATGTGTATATATTCAGTAGCTACCGGCGCATATTCGTTGTATGTGATGCTACTCACTTTATACGTTTGTGAGTCTGTATTTTGTTAAGTTTGATGAAAAGTTCGGTTCAGAACATAATCAATTCATGCCTAAATTGTGTCTAAAAACCACCAACTTACCTCTTTGAATTTAGAGAAATACTGGTGCTTTTTGGACGGAATTTAGAATTTGTTAAAGTGAATAGTACCTAGAGTCAAGAGAAAAATCAATGGCACCAATTGTTAGGTCTATTATTCGTACTTACTTAAACTAAGTTCATCTGAAAATAAAGATACTCAAGGAATTTGTGCTCGTTGATTTTCTTGCAGTTGGAATTGTAATTCAGTGGAGTTACTAAGGTTTTCTACAATTGACGTGCCAAAATTTACCATTCAATTTAAATGATCTTACGAAAAAGAAAAGATACAGGAGAAATTCTTGAAGTAATAATTTGGCCTTATCAGTTAATGTTACACTATGTAAAGATAGTGATGGCGTACATGAAATAAAACATTCCATCAGCACAAAAATTTACCCATGCTACTTTTAATAAATTATTACTGTTTCCTTCTACTCTCGATGAGCCTACTCATCATAAAAATAAGATGCAGCACCTCTCTGTACGGTGTGAATCAACTGATAAGTTGCTTCAGTTCAGTTAATTGAATTCAAAGTTTTTTTCATAAATGCTAGAAGCTCAGATGAATGAAAACCACTCCATCTGTAAAACGCCTTGTGAATGGTGCTTAGAACCATAAAATTTTACAGGTGACTCCGTTTTTTCTTTTTCAATTTTTGCTTCTGATCGCATTTTACTGTGTGATGTTTTGGAGTCTTGAAAATTAAAATAGGAAAAATGCCTTTAATGTCTGTTTTCTGGAGGATAAAGTAACTAGTCTCCAAAGTATATGTGTTAGTGCTTTGGAATTTTATAAAAAAAATGACGTACAATGAAAGTGACCATCACAAAAATATAATTTGATGACTGTAATACTCTTGCTTTGAAATGTTTTCAAACCGTAGATATTTATTTTTTTTTACTTTAGTCAAACATTTTAAAAAAAGGTGATTATTATGTATTTTTTTATGTTTCTTTTTCTTAACATTTTCTTTTCGAAAGAAATTTTAAATTATTGGTAAAACGGTAACTAAACTTGACTATAGCATTATTCTTTCTTTACTCATCTAATTTTAAGACAGTCTGGATTTGATTTAAGAAAAACCTCTAGCCACTCGATGGCTCACTGAAGTTTCCTAGTCTTCCTAATTATTCATCACAGAAAGGACATCAGAGAGTTGTTTATGTTGGCAACATATAAACATGTTTACTCTATCTTAGCAGTTGGATTTTCATGATATCTATTGACCCGCTAGATTTTTGAAGAACTAAAATAGAGGAAAATTTGAATTACAATTTAGGTAACCAAAATCGAAACTTGAAGAACAATTGATTGTTTCCTTAATACCTGAAATATGCTCCAAGAAAATATTTTAAAAACTTGACTGATTACTTTTTGAGTTGATTTTTCAATCATGAATTATCAGACTCAGTAATCTATTAACTTAAGGGCAAACTGCAATACTTTTTTTCAATACATATATTCATTGTACAGCGATTTACCTGGTTTCAAACTCTTTAATGGGAATTCAGTGATACGTAAATCACTGCTCCTGATGTTTAGTTTGCATCAATTTTGCTTGAAAAGCGGTAGAAATTTTTCTAGTGATAGTTTTATTCATTTTCTTTCTCTTCTGATTGTTCCAATTTCTTTCTTGTACCTATTTAGAAAATTTGATTAATCAAAGTAGGTTTAAGTTACTTATATTTGTTACCATGTACTATTTTTTCCTCCTTTTTTACACGATAGACTTTTTGTAAAAAAATTTTTTAAAAAAATGAAATTTAGCAACTGACAAAATAAATATGGCTGCAGAAAACGGTAAGCAATATTAGAGGTAAAATGTTAACTCACAAATTTTCCAATCTAGTTCAATACACTTTTTTTTGATGCGGTATAATATACCTATCGAGAAATTTTAAGCCAATATGGAAAAAGAAAAGACCAGTGAATAAATCTGATGTATACATATCTAAAATATTTTCTTTTTTAGGATGTAATGATAATTTCAGTGTGTGGGAATAATTATGTCTGTTATTATAAATATATTGTTTTTTACTTTGATTAAATCTGCTGGATCATTTCAAAAAAGAAAAGAAAGCAACTTAGATTTGTTTCTTTATTTATTTTTTAATTTTTATAGTTTTATGATGTACAAAATTCTTAAATAAAAAAAATAAAAGTAATCCGTTCAACTTAATTTTTTTTAGAGATTGCCCAAGATATCCTCTCCTATTCCTTTTTTTACTAGATCTTCTCATTTTTGACTTAGCATAATTTATATATATTTATACTTTCATTGAATTTAGTCCAATGGCTACCGATTGGTCTGGATTAAAACATGGCACGAGTGTCAAAATAATTTAGACGATGGTCTTTAGGAAGTAATTTCTTCTAATTTATAAAAATCACATGTTGGTGATTCTCAACTTAGCAATTATGCAAAACATTACCTCATACTTGAAAAACAGATGACAAAATATGAGTTACTGTAGGTGTTGATGTAGTAAATAAATTATATTATCAGAGAACCAACAATGGCCTGAATTTTTGGGCGTGTCAAAGAAAGTTCAGAAATCACTGAGAAACGTTGTACTTACAATTTAAACATTATAAATATTTGATTTAAATACATGATGTAGTTGTTACTTTTATAACTGCGTATTCTTTCGTTTTCCATTCTTATCATGAGATAGATAGGTAAATGGGTACTTTCACTCAACTCTTTTTTAAACATAATGTAGAATGATTGAGTTTTAAGAACTTCGGAGAATGAGATGATTGAACTTATTTGTGGCAGCAGATATTAACTGGCAATTTTTTGTGCGACAATATCGTTTCACTTTAGCTTTTGCTAATTGATAACATCAAAATATTGATGCAAAAAATTAAAGAATCCTCAAAGTATTTGGTATAATTCAGTTTCATAATTTCAATAATTTTTCAAAATTAAGAGTTAATCCAGACCAAGGTTTGAAGTTTCCCATGAAAGACACAAGTCAGGGACAGGGACAAGAATTTTCTGGAAAATTCCTGCGGGAAAAATCATTAGAGGCCAACTAAAATCTATTTATTAAGAATCGGATTTCAGAATATGATACTTTTTTCAAAAGATATTATGGGAAAGGGATGTAAGAAGAAAAAAAAAAACTGGATTTAGGGAAAAAAACTTTATACAGACTCAGTGAACTGCCAAAATAGCAGCCAAAATTAGGCTACTTTAGCAAGAACAATATGCCATATATATTTTACAGTAAACATTTTACAGCTTAGAATAGAAGATTTAAGTTTCTGTACAAAAATACAATAATCTTGGAAATAAATACTATTATTTACTCAAGAGAAAATAAATTATGATGTCTGCAGCACTGTTTAAAGTTTACTTGATATTAATGGTGCATAACAGGAAACATGGCATGAGATGAGGCACTTTGGTTGTATAATAATAGATACCAAATTAAAAATTTGCAACTTTTCTTAAAATTATTAAATCATGGAAACTCTATGAATACAATACAAGATACGTTATTAGACTGTTAGTCTGATTAACTGGTCGTACTAGTTGTGGTAGTGTAGAGATAAAAGTAAATGCAAAAAAAATGCAAACAAATTGTAAAACATGTTATCTACCATTAAATGCCATTCCGGCAAGGGAGAATAAATTGAATACAAAATATGTCACATTTGATGGATACATCTAATTAATTTCAGCTGTTAAATAAAGGTGGTATATTCATAAGATGTGAAGGGTGCTTTGAGACCGAGTCACTTTTGAGAGAACTAGATAAAGATGTTTTTTATTTTTAAAAAAAAATCATCTCTCTTAAACATCATGGCCATAGCTAAAAATTCAACTGCCTATAATCTGTACAGCCTGTCTATCTTTAGGAGACCATAAAAAAAAGCGGACTCGATGAAATGAAAACTCAGTCCATTCCAATTTTATTAATGCTGGACATGGGTATTCTGTACTCGCGCAGCTGTTTGGAGAGGGAAATCGGATCAAGATTTTTAGACACAGCCTCCTTAAGTAGATCTGGAGAGGGAAAATCTAACAATGTAAGATATGCTGCTCGGATGAGCTGAAGTTTAGATTGTGAATCGCAATCTAATTCCATTAGACACTGTTTCACAGTAATTTGGTAGTTACTTTCCCAACTGCTCATGACGTAGTTAATCGTCTGTTTCACTGACAAAGCCATGTCCATCGAGATGACAGGGATTTCTTCAGAACTCTTTATATTGTGCTTGTTCAAAGACAGAGCGAGGAAGAGTTTCAATTGCCAGCAGGAAAATGTAGACGGTGCTTCCAATAGATTGTTTAAAGCACGAATCACCTCAAACCACAACGGTAAAACTGCAAGCTTGTCATGGATAATACATTCATAAACAACTTTTGTAAGAAGCTGTGTTAATTGAAGCTCTTTGCGCGAGGAGCATTCTATTTGTTCGAGGAAACACTGAGCCATTTTAATGATGCTCGGTTCTGAGGAAAAGCCGAAAATCGACTCGGCGGCTACAGACCAGGAAATGGCTTTGTCAGTTGTAAGAGAAAAGGCTAACAGACTCCGAAAGCCGTGGGGATCCTCTGCATAAGACAAACAACCCGCTCTTTGCTTGATGTCTAAACAGCTTGATTTTTTCAGAATGTTCTCAAGATGATGCCAATTTTTGCCTCGTTTGAAAGTAATTTTCCAGTACCTGCTATCATCGACTCTGACTTCCTTGATCAGTTTCAATTCTGGTAAAATACACGGGGCTTTCATTTTTACGAACTGATTTTGGTAGTACTTAGTGTCTAAAAAGATAACGGTTAAATGGACGTAACAAAGATTGCTGGAGTCGATATCACGCGGTAACAGAAGTCGCGGCTCAACTGCCAAGGAGTAAAGATGTCTAAATGCTTGCAAGTGGTAGCGGTTATCATTACTATGAGTGGGAAATTTCGGGTAAAAAGCGCACAACAGAGCTGCGATGGCCGCAGGGCTTGTTGAAATTGAGTAGCGACCACCACCCAGAAATAGGAGCCCTAGAGCCATATGTGTAGCCAGATGAGACCCATATGTGACCACAGTGTTGCTTGGACCTCCTACACGCGATCGTAGGTATCTCACAAGACGTAAAACTTCCAGCTCACCGGTGCCTGCCATTACCAGTGCTAGAGAGAGGAGTATAACGTTCAAACAAGTTTCAATTGTGGATTTCCCTGCAAGTTCTGCTATTGATTTTCCAGTCAATGAGGTGAACATGAGACAATATTCGTGCAATGTTTCGAATGCTTCATTGTTGGCTGAGCCAGCAAATCGGAGTCCAATAGCCATACAAGCCCCAGCAATGATATTGCAATATGCTTGATTCATGGTTTCAAAGTCGATATTACTGTTTATCATGTTCGCTTGAGGTTTGACCAGACAGTACGGTCGAATTGAAGAGGGCACATGATCTTCGACCCATTTTTTAGTGGGCAATATGTCTGACCACATGACTAGTCCTCTTGCAACGACACGTAGTAAGAGAAAATCAGGACAAACAAAATCGAGAACATACTGTGTGTCGGGAGCTTTCATCCAGTTAGCGACGGCTTCGTTTCCAGTGTTGAAATACATCATTCCCAGCGCTAAAGTGGCACCAGGTGAGGTGACATTGATGTTCACAGAGTCACCTTCACGAATCTGGTAGCTTGGCGACTTGTATTTATCTTTCTGCGTCCCAGTTATGGGTCTCTTGTGCCCGCCAACCATGTAATAATGAAGAGCATCTGGAATGGCAAGATCGTTCATTCCAGACAAGTGATTGCCTTGACCTAGCACAACCATCCCTAACCCTAGACCAGCAGCTAAGGAATACGATTCTCGGTCAACACTATTTTCCATCTCGGGACCAGGAGGTTTGCCAATTTCATTCAAAAGGACCTCTGCAACATGCCGATGAGCAGTCCCTTGATACACAAGTCCCATACCCAGCAAAGCAGCAACCTGAACGTTCTGTAGAACTTCAAGCTCCACACTTGTTGGGGGTAGTAACGACTCGAGGTGAATGCTCAACATTTTGGTTGCCTTGACATTCATCGTTCCGATGTGCGAGGCAGAGAGCCCTAATAAAACACCTACACTCGTCATTTCTTGACAACGGAAAAGATAATCATACGCAGTTAGTGCCTCGAAATTAGTGAGGTGCCCATTTAACCCGAGAGCCATTAAAAATCCAGCATGTTCGGCTTCTGGTCCTTGCTTCGGTTTATTGTACAAAATCCAGGTGGAGTCGATATTCGCTGCATTGGGAGAAATTTTGAGACCGGCAGCAGCCCCGTTGTGAAAAAGCGGCCATAAGTTCATATTGGGAACTACTTCGATATGACTCAATTCGATAGTTGTCTCGCGCGGCGATGCTTTGCCTGTGAGGCAAAGCGGGGGAATGGACAAAGGCTCGGTGATCACAGGGGAGGCGGTGTGAAGCGTGAACATTCCTCTGGCCAAAGGTAGTGCCATTGTGCGGGTACTCAGTGCATATAAATGTCGCTCTTGCTCTTCTATAAACTCATGGTCACTGACTTCCGGTCTCTGGGTGATTGAAATTGTGACAGGGTGCGATGATTCAAGCAGCCGACGCACTTCAGAGATACGGTGGTCTCGGCTCCATCGGAGCTTTAGGATTTCTAAGTCTATACCGTCCATGCCGTCGTCCAAGTCGGATTCGTTGGTGCGGGTAACGGATGTTGATAGGCTATTCTTGTCACCATCGTTGGCATTGACGGAAGGGTTGCGTCTTAAACTTCCTAAGGCGTAGGTATTAGAATCGTTACTGCATAGGGCAGCTAAATCTTGTCTCACAATTAAGTGGTAGGCCTCCTCCGGCCAGTCGGTCGGAGGGTTTTCTCGCGATTGATGAAGCGCATCGATCAAAACGATATTCACACCGGCAGGTAAAGTCTGTATTTCTCGCCGGGTCAGGCCGAGTTTCGCTATTAAAAGAGTTGTTTTCTGAGCGACTGTTAAAGATGGATCTTGAGCGAGCCTCCGGTAGATAGCTTTTTCACTTGTTTCTGGACCTACGTGGTAACCCGATGGTTGAATTACTTTTACTAGCCTATCTAAATTATCACAGCCATTGACGAAATTACTTACAATTTGGATGACATTTCTTGATAGGTTATTTACATTTGGAACAGAAGGGTATACTGGTGGCTCGAATCTTTTGAGTAGCCAGTACAGATGTTTGAAGATACTTGGAGGGGTATTTGGTAAAAATTGAGGGACTGTTAATTTATCTAAATCACTTTGTGTCACTTGAGATTCTTTGCCGAGAGTTGAGGAGCAAACAGAGGGATGATCTCGCCAGTAATGGTGAACATATTCTTTCATACACAAGTCTGATGCCAACTGGTGAAGGAGCTGTGCCAACATAGGCAAACTGTCACACATCAGAGTGCTAAGTTTCAGTTCCTCATATAAAAGATGCAAACCAAATAGAACGAAGTACGCAGAAGAGAACAGCGGGGCAGCAGTGTTGATTCTGGCGGCGGCAGGAGGTCCATGACTTGGCGGACTCGCGGTTCTCGGTTCGACGTCAGAGTTTAAGTTCAATAAATTATACAGTTCAGGGTACATCATGTGATGATGTTGAGAACTTAAAAGATACTCCCAATCTTCATGATTGCCACTGTTGGATGGTCTTTTCTTCTTCGGAAGAATTACTGGGCTTTCTAATCCAGCGGATAGGAAAAATTCGGAAATCGGAATTTTTTCAACATCATATCCCAACAACTCTAATAAACAATTGATGAATATCTGCCAGTCTTGGATTGCAGTGATATCCTGTGTTCCTGGAGCATTGCGAGCAGCGTAGCAGCGAACGCACAGTTGAAGCGCCATGTCTCTAGGTAAGCAACATTTGAGGGCGTTCAAACTTTCTCGAACCAACGGAGAGGAACAAACTTCAGGCAAAGAAATTTTAGCATACGTCCCGCTTTCATACTCAACGATGAACTTCGATGAAATCGAGTCTCCAAATGCACGGATAAGATTAGATCGCAAGACTGGTGACGGACAGTGCTTTGCTTCTAATGTTGTCGCAGTTGAGAGAGATTGCGACGGAAGTTTGTGTTGAGTAAGGACAGGTGAAAGAGCAACGTCAGTTTCGCCAAAAAGGCCGTCACCTAATCTTGTTGACGACAAGAGACTCCGTCTTGAACTCAAGGATGGGGAGCCGGGGGCAGGAACGATGTTATTATGACTGACGTCAGCTGGAGTCGCGGTTGGATTGAACAAAGGTGGAGGCATTTCGGGAGCAGAAAAAAATACTGGAATGTGAAGTTTACCCACAGGAGCTGTTCCTGAATAAAGCATGATACTACCGGAGGGCTCAAGAACAACGATTAGATGGAGAGCTGGTAAAAAAGCAGCATCTTTTGCACTTACGCAATTGACAGTACCAACAATGACACCTGGTTCCTTGTCATTTGTTTTTTCCAACCGAGCACAGAACAGCAGTTCTTTGGTTGGTACTAAATACGACAGATACTTCAGTCCGACTAAATCAGTGCTATAAAACACTTTGGTGGCTGGGCCAAGCTTCTCCTCCCTTGGGGTTCCCTGATTTTCTGTCCACATGTACTCGAGACAGACCGCTGGCACTATCGCTTTTGGTTCTAGTTCCGAGACACACTGACTAATACCTAGACGGGACTCGACAGGCGAAGCAGGAGTTAGCACAACGTGCGCTTGCAGAAGAATGTCTTTACGGGAAGGCGATGCTCCATAAAGCTGCTGTCTCAGAGACATGTGAGGTGACTGACCTTTCAGTGCAGAGGCAGGTACATTCCCCATGCCGAACGGAGAGTTGCTCGATGTGCTATTATGTCGACTTCCCAACATCGGAGACGAGAAGTGAGACTTCCACATTGATTTATTACCACTCCACATACCTGAATTCTTGATCGAGTCACCAGACTTCAAATCACTCAGGTAAGTATGGGTGTTCGACAGGAAGTGAGACTGGGTAATGGAGGCACTCAAAGAATTTTCCTGACCGCACGTGAACAAGCACTCTTCTGTCGTCGTCTTGCGGATTTTCCACAAACTGTGAAGCCCAGTTTTAAAATCATAAAGCATGCACAAGGATGGTTCCGAGCTGGTGAAAACTACTTTCATACTCGGCTCACACATGTAATAGACGCCGCCGCTTCCAGGTTTCATGACTAACAATGGCGCCATTTCATCCAGGGGATGAAGTAATGAAAACATGGTGGCCAGACCTGAACCATCGAGTTTGCTGGCGGAAGAATTATCACCATGTGGCGTGCTCATGTCTTTTATTGTGTGCATCTGCGACGGCTGTCTGAGCACGCGTTCGATTAAAAGGCCGTACTTGGTATTCCAAGCGCCGGTGACTTTGAATTCTAATGCTGACATGAAGTCTTCGCCATCTTCTGTGAAAACATTGATTTTGGAGTCATCCAGTAGACAAACACTTGGGACCGTGATCCGATCATTGTCCACTGGTTTATTGTTGTCTGACAACAAAAAGTCACACCATAACGCAAAACTGATATCCGTTTGGACAGTGTAGGAGGCTACTGTATCACGGACGTTTTCTTTGTTCCCGCGAGAGAAAATTGCTGTTTTTCCGCGAACGTATAATTCTTCTTCCACTCCATCTTTCACGCGCAGTTTCCACCATTCCCTTTGATTCAAGTCGATGGCAATCTGGCTAAGTTGATGGACAAGAAAAGATTCTGACTGAACTTGGATGTCATTCGGCTGAAGAACAACGTCTCCCAGGTGGTTTTTTAGCTGTTCCCGCCCATATGGGACGAAGACCTGCGGTTCGGAAGCAGCTATCATTTCGCCGATCTTTTCCAGATTTACAGGTTGCGAGACAAAAAATGCAAGTTCGACTCATAAGTTCTGAATTGTCACTTTTTAGCTTTAACGAGCACTAAAAATTAATGTTCACATTTTGCATACCTTGTAGAGGAGACTCAGATCACAGCATAATTCAGTGAACTTTGGCTTGCAGCAGAGGAGAGAGACCGAAGGAGTGATGTTCTGTTTTGAGCCACCCAAGATAGACAAAAGGAATAGCTTCAAAAATGCTGCAAATGAAAATATGAAAACAAAATTAAAATCCTGTAAAAGGAGGAGCTCGTGAATCAAAATAATTATTTTAGACTGCGATATAAGTTAAAAGTATTAATTGACGATCAAGACTTGAAGCGGATTGAAAAAGGCAAAATATTCAAAAAATCCTCAGAAAATCTGCGATTTATCAAAGAAAATTGGGCAACAGCCGAGGGCTCATAAGACGTTTTCCCTTAGCAAGGCAGTATTGTTTTCATTCATAAACTACGCACCATTCTTCATCACGAAATAAGACAGCAGCACTACAGCGATAACGGTTGGAGCGCCGGAGGTCGCTCCGTACCGCATCGCTTGGAAACGAAATCTAGTCCACTAAGAAATAATGTAGAAACTAGTTTCTTCTTCACCTAAATCACAAGTTCGCCTTAGAATTTGGCGATGCAACCTAACCCTACACTGGAATTAAGTGGCATCCACCGACTGGCATTTAGAAAACGTTCAGTAAAAACATCCAGAGCAGACTCTGAATGCATTTGGACGAGGGCAGTGAGAAAGGGACTTCCAAGGAGACTTCAACGCACGGCTAGAAACGTAAAGGTCCTTTTCAAGTTCTCATTACGTTGGGCTTATTTCAGTCCACATGACTTATTGATTTTTATTTTGCTTGTATGGATAAGGGTAGGACATGGCGGACTTCTCAGGAGACTTTAACGCAAAGTTAGAAACATAGAGATCACTTTCAAACTATCATTCTCTTGAGCTAATTCTTGTTCATGTCATTCATTGATGTGCATATTATTGTTTGTATGGACAATAAGGACCTTTACGAGGGGGGGGGGGGGGGGGGGCCAAAAAAACCCGGAATGTTGCCGTAACTTGGTGACGGTAGAAAATATCCGGATTCTAGCGCTAGGAGGTGAAACTGAGAGCTATGAAGAGTCACTAGGCCAAATTTCAACGTCGTAGCACATTTTGCTTCGTTTTGGCGAGCCCTCGCGTGAGGGATGTTCGCTGAGCTCGTCGTTTTTGAAAATAGGTGATTTTTCACACAGGCATGCGCGGCTAACTCTGTCAATTTTTGGAGTGAATCTTGCAGGGCACATGCTCTACCTATGATATAGGTGAACAAATCGACGGTGTAAGTCGGCAGTCACATAACTCGTTTGCGGTGTCAGAAAATCTCGGCCTCTATGTAATTTTTTTAAAGGAGAACAAATTGGCATCATTCCTTGAAGTTTTTGCAGAATTGTCTTTGCACAGAGAAGAAAAATCAAGGCAGTTTTAAAGAATTGCCGTTGAGTAGTTTTCCGTTTCAAAAGTAAAGTATGACAGGAAGTCTGCGACGTCGCAACACCGTCGAAATGTTTTTTCCGTTTCAAAATGTGTTTTAAATTGTTATCTTTGTTTTATCAAAGGAAATTAGGCAAGAAACGAAAGTTCATGCGGCGTTTTTGCTTCGGCCTTATCCACATGATCGCAGTTTGGGCGCATTAGTTCCACGAATAGGGGTTCGATGTTCGAGGAACGAGCCATTTCCGCGAACCGCGCTCGTATGGACAAACCTTCTTCTTTTCGCGAAATAAGGATGATGATTGATGATTGGGTCATTCACACAGCGCATTCGTTGGAATAGCGCGGCGTATTGTTCGGAAACAAAACCGCGGTTAGATTGCCTTCAAATTTGGCGATGCAACCTAAACTTTTTGACTAATTAAGTTGTGTCCACCGATTGGCTGTATTCTGAATGTTTTTACGCATCCTGAGGACCATGACTTACATTGGAGGAGTTATCGATAAATTGACAAACACGCACAGCCTTGTCAGGGGTAAACGCCGTATCTATGTTGAATCTATGAATGTTGCCAAATAGGTTCAATGACATTTCGACACCGATTTTTTGTCCGCACACCTGGTTCTTTTAGTAGTTTATGTCCACGCGTTTTTTTCGGCAGGGGAGTTCGTGCCGTAGTACCTTGATTCATTTTGCGAGAAAAGCTCCGTACTCTTGAAAGATGCCTATCATTCTTAAAATGTTGGAGCGCCTTCAATTTCGTTTGATACTGTGCAACACCTCTGTGGTGAGATAGTTGCTTGAAGCGCCGTGGCACGCTTCGGCGTGGCGGGCGGCTGGCCAACTCCCAACACGCATCGACGCCTTCAAACCTAAGGGAATACTTCAAGCATTGCGCAATGCGTGAAGTGTTCCCTTAGGTTTGAAGGCGTTAGTGCGCGTTCCGTGTCGGTAGCACGCCGCTCCGCTCTAAGTTCGGCTCTAATATTTAAAATCGCGGAGTCGGCGTTTTTCAGCTCATGATTTTGAAATTTTTGCACATTCTGCATGGATTTTTCTCGTTTAAATTGATGAAAAATTATTATTATTAAAGGATAATATAAAATGTGTTTTGTAAATATTAAGATGGTTCCGTGTCAAATTTAATGATCCCCAAAGCACTTTAATTATTTCTTTTATCTTTTAGTTTTTTCCCCTATTATATTCATTTTTGTATAGTTTCTTTCAACACAACTCTTATTTTAAACGAGGACGTAAACTACTGGACAAAACGGGCACGCGGACAAAAAATCGTTGACGGAATGTCCAAAAACCGCCAAATAGCTCTCGAAAAAGTACTATCTTTAAGGACAGTTGTGAGTATTTTTCTTTGATAGTTTCAGATGATTTAGATCAAATTGCAACTTCTCCAAAAATTTGGAAGAAAATTATTTAAAATGCGCCCCATAAAGGATGGGGTTTTCGACCCAAAAGATTTGAGGGTCCTTACGCAATGGTCTTTGAGCTTCGACCTTTACACCCATGTTGTGCACTTGGTAGACAAGGTGTATGAGTGCAGTTTTTCTATTTCGAGAAATATGTGTTTGAAGTTTCAAAATTACATGGATCCGTATGGCAGAAAGAAAGTTCTAACTGACTTTTTGATGCTTAAAAATTGAATTTTGGGAGCGAATTTTTTATAGAATATGCATGGAGACTAGTTTTACTTGAAATTATTAATATCTTAATTTTTTCAAAAATTGCACTTGTGCGCCTTGTCCTCCAAGCTCCTCATGCCCTTTTGAATTTTTTATTTGCGCCACTTGACAGTATCTAATAAAAATGAGAGCAGGTCATCTATTCATAACTGTTAAAAAGGATGATTGCTGAAAAGGAAAATTTCCTAACTCACAAGACAATTCTTTAAAATCTCAAACTGATCAACACTGTTTTCATAACTCTCAGTCCACAAAAATCCAACCTTAAGCTAGGTAATGATACAGGATCATCCAATTCAATAGATATGAGACTAGTGAACAACCAACTTGTGTTCATTATCTGGTGAGTCAGACTGCCTCTATGCAAGGCAATATGAGAGTATGCTACCTGATTGATGCATATTCATGGTGTCATTTTAAATAACCACCAATTTGTATCGTAAATTTGCCTTAGATGATAAATGTTTGGCAGGAAACCAAACCATATTGGTAATAGTTGGAAGTTGGCAGTTCAAAAACATTGATTTGGGGTAAAAGCAATCCAAACGATCAAATTTTTAAGCTATGAAAATTCATGCCTTGCACGCAGGGCCGGATTTACCTGCTTGCCGCCCATGGGCCGCCTGTATTTTGCCGCCCGCACTTCTCATTCGTTTTGAAACTCAATAAAAACCATCAAGTGAACGTGACAGCGGGGGAGGGGTGCATAAGACGCATTTACTCGTGTTGAACACATTTTTTGGGAAAGCTCTGTCAACACTACGGGCAAAAATTCATGGAACTTTGCGCGAAAGTTGTGTTTCGTAAACCTATCTCTGTGTGGATAAGGCCTTCCATTCATAAGAAATGAACGAAAAAATTATGAAAGAACAAACATAAATGTGGTTTAATGATTTTAACTTCCGCCGCCGCGCCGCGCAGACCGCAGAGTATTTGGCGCAATGCGTGAAGTATTCACGCAATCTTGTAGGCGCTATGCGCTTTTGATGCAATGCGTGAAGTTTTCGTGCAGTCTTGTAGGCGCTGGTATGTGTTACATGCCGATCACCGCGCCGAGAGCTTCTCCTTTTCATCTCAAGTCCTCGTCATCATTTCTCTCTAAGTCGCGCCGTTCCAGGCCAATTGCGTGTTTGGTTTCTCTCTTAACTCGACTAATTAAAGGTGCTGCCTCTTGTATCATTAAGAGACGACAAAACTAGAAATTACTATATTCTCAGGAAATGAGAGATTGTGTCGCCTTTTCTCGTTTGAAATTTTTTTTCCTAAATCCGATTTTTTGTTGTACCTACACTTAAATAAATTGCAAATTTTTGCTGCCTCCTAGATTTGCCGCCATGGGCCGCGGCCCATGTGGCCACCCCCTTAATCCGGCCCTGCTTGCACGGGTATAAAAATATAAAAATTAACTAAACCACTCACAATGTGACCTCTAAGAAACTGGGGAACATTTTCTTTGGAAGTATCTACTTCAGATTTTCAACCCAATTTCACAGAAATTGCACTCTTGAAAAATATACCTAAATCCAGTGAAGTCTCTCGTAACATGAACAGTCACAAACAACCTTTGCATTGCTGACTTTTTGTCAGTCTTTATTTTTCACATGGAAATATACTCAATTTTTTTTTTGGAAACTTTCCTTGGAGTATTAGGAGCCATGTGGCGCATCAAGCTCGATTTTAAGGCGCCATTGAAGATTTTTTAGGGGCTAAATTGACTTTTTGTCTCTATATTACGGCGCACCTAGTGAAAAGTTAGACGCAAGATGTTTCCGTAACAGAACTAGTAAGTAGCTGCAACTTGGGAAAGACAAAAGCACTAAGGATGAAATAGTGAAGAATAGAAAAAGCTTTCACTTGTAGTGCTGAAAATTTCGAATAATCACCTAATATGAAAATTCAGATTTTTAGGGGGTAATTTTTAGGAGCCACGTTGGCGCAGGCCGCAGAGCCATCATTTTTTAGGCGCATTCGGCGCGTTGGCGCCTGTGAGTTTCAAACACTGGAGACTTCTCTGTGGAAAAAATATTTGATGAAGATTTGAAGCAAAGACGTTGGTTTGTTCTCAATTGATAAAATAGAACAGGAGCGGAGATTTCAAAAAATCACAAACGAGATATGCATTCCTAAGTACGGTTTTACTGTTGATACAGAACTTATCCCCCTCAAAATTTTGGTAAAAACAAAAAAATCATAAATCTGATAGCCTTCCCGTTTTCTCCCAAGGTTTCATGTTCAGTACCTCTTTGATGCCTTTTCTTACGGCACAGTACGACTCATCTCTGTTTCCAACACAACAAGTACTTCTTTCCGAGAAATTGTCTTAACCTGACTGTCCAGTGCTTTACCTTCTAGCTATTAATCTATGACTCTCATGGTGAATTTCTGTTGTTGGTATGATAAGAAGAAATAATTGCAATTTCCACTTGCCTATCTTCTACTTGCATGTGCAGAAAGCACATCACTTGATCATTTATATTTGACATAAGTAATTTGAAATCAATACATGATATCTCTAAACACATTGTCAGACTTTTAAATTTAGGATAAAAAGGGAAGGAGAAAATATGATTTTCCTCGGATTCGTCTGAAAGACAATTCCTGCACAGCAGAGTTGGGCACGAATAATTCGGCAATGTATGAAATTGGTGCGGCAACACTGACTAGACTCTTCAGAATTCTCTACCTGATGAGATAGATCAATCGTCGAATCACTCGTCTAACTGACGATTGATTGGACGTTTCTGATTGACCAAATAATTTCCGAATAATTTTTTCCCAACTCTGCTGCACAGAGTACCCATCCTTTCATGTTGCTCCTTGAGTACATTAGCACGCTGCTAACAAACAAATGTTCAGAAAAATAAGGACCAACCACGCAATGAGCAGTTCCAAAGCTAAAGAGAAAAAAGATTAACTGAACTATTTACCTTCAATTACAGAATTCTGTTTGATTGCGAAGCTTGAGATCACAGTTGCCGCTGACAAGAGTACATGCTTAGTTCGTACACATGCGTTTGGAGTAATGATAAGAAATTGACAAGCTTGATATCCTTGAAAACAGTTCACAATTGTTAACGTGTAACACTTGAATATCCAATAAAATACTAACTATCATTTTGCTAATTCAGCGACTACACATTTTTCACATTTTATGTTCATGACGGTTTGTTGTTGGAGGTTATGTTTGTTTGTGTTGACCGGTAGACAATGATGTCAAAACAGAAGCGGTAACAACATGAGTGAACAGATCGGCCCAGATATTCCGGACCACATTTCACCAAAAACTGCTGTTTGTCAAACCGCCGTCAACACCAAAGACATGTAAGCGTCCAGCCCACATACAAACTAGAGGCTTCAAAGAGACTCATCGATGCCTTTCCTGGCCCTCTCATTGGCCAGCGGTTTAAGTCGGGGCAATCGATGAGTCTCTTCTCTCTTTGAAGCCTCTAGTTTGTATGTGGGCTGGACGCTAAAGACGGAGTGCTCGTTCAGTGCTCCGTCTTTATGTCTTTGGTCAACACCTACCAAGCGGCGAGTAGGCCTTCGGCCGTGCTCGGCAATCTTCGTATTCAATGAGGTTGAGGTTGCCGCTCGCCGCCCGTGATCTCGAAGATGGTTCGGCTCCTAAACCACCCCCAGCCCCACTTTAGGGATGTTCGATTAGTCAAATAATCGATTAATCGTAATCGGTAGTAACCTAGTTTTAATAATCGATTACTACGATTAATCGGAATCAAATAATCGATTAATCGATTAATAATCGACTATTAATCGATAAGATCAAAAGCTTTGATAATGCTCTTTGAATCTCTTATTTTTTACCATCTAAGTAAGCTGTTTAGTAGTTTTCTTACTTTGTTTATTTTCTGTTATAATACCTAAAATTTTGGGCAGTTTTGCCTGCATTTGTATCTTAAATCTTACGAAGAAAATTTTAAATAAAGAACTGGTAAAATTTTGAAGCTGCACCATACAAAGAGATGAGGTTGTTGCTTTCTAAATCGGGTTCCTCATACTTACAGTCTATACGGAAATAATTGTTTGTCTACTTAGTTGAAGAATTCATTCAAGAAAAAAAATGTTTTTCGACTGAGTCCAAAATGAGGACTTAAAATTGACGCGCTGGGT